AGACGGGGTTTCACCATGTTGACCAGGATGGTCTCGATCTCTTGACCTCGTGATCCACCCACCTCGGCCTCCCAAAGTGCTGGGATTACAGGCTTGAGCCACCGCGCCCGGCACCATTCTTAATAAGAATTATTATTAGCGGCTGGGTGCGGTGGCTCACATCTATAATCCCAGCACATTGGGAGGCCGAGGCGGGCAGATCACCTGAGGTCAGTAGTTCAAGACCAGCCTGGCCAACATGGTGAAACTCCATCTCTACTAAAAATACAAAAATTAGCTGGGCCTGGTGGTGGATGCCTGTAATCTTGGCTACTCCAGAGGCTGAGGCAGGAGAATCTTTTGAATCTGAGAGGCAGAGTTTGCGGTGAGCTGAGATCATGCCACTGTACTCCAGCCTAGGCCACAGAGCAAGACTCTGTAATTGTTACGTAATTGTTACTTTGTGTACTTTATGCGTAGCAACCATAAGCACTGAGTGGGATAAAATATAGTTCACTAGCTCTGAGAAGTAGGATTTCTGATGATGTGACTCTACACAATTCATTTCAATCTTTTCCTACCAGTGATCACCATTGTACATTTCATACCAGGCAAATCTCTTTCTTTCTTTTGTGTACATAGCAGGCATCTCATTTACTTTCAGTTATTTCAAACTGGTGTACTTTTGCATGTGTCTAGTTACAGGAAACCAACTTATGAGAATTATGAACTGCCTGCCCGGAGCCAGATAGGACAGAAGAGTCCTTCAGAAATCAGCGTTCACGTTGGAATAGATGATACCTCAAGAAATTCTCCTAAACTAGGTTTGCTGGACCGGATTGTTAATTATAGCAGAGCCTCTATAAACTCACTACTGTCTGATAAACGCTCCCTAAACAGCGCTGTTACCAGTGAACCTGACAAGCATTCACTCCTGGTGGGTGACTTCAGGGAAGATGATGACACTACGTTATGAAAGGCTACGGAGAGTGCTGCTAGTTTATCTTGTCATGCACTGACAACAGCATTCATGATGTTACCTTCACTTTTCAAAATACTGTAGAAGGATTTTATGTTGGTCTCGTGCTCTTACATTAGAGATTCTATTTGAGTTGCGTTTATCTGTTGGCACAAATATCTTTTTCAAGGCAATCAGCGCTGAATTTAGCTTTATTTAAACTGGATTTCCAGTATATTTTTGTTTTCACTAACAACAGATAAGGTAGAGCAGTGAGGTTTACAACAAGCCCTACAATTAGAGATTGCTGAACTGCTGCTAAAGTGATATTTTTTTATTTGACCAAAAAAGGGCCGAAGAAGAAGATATTAAAAAATTTGAAGATTTGAGAGCTGAAGATATTCATGCTATTGAATTCAAGATATTGAAGATACACTCAAGCCTGTATCCCTGCCTCATTGGGGAGCAATGACATTCAAAGCACTGTGTATAAAGCATATAGTTTTAGAAGGAAAACAGTTGAAACTATTTAAAAATAGATGTGCCTTATTTATTACAGGCTTTCTTTCCCCCATTCTCCCTGCATCATTGTCCTTGCAGTTGCTTTTTTAGATGCTTTTGTTATTTTCTTTTAAGCTAACCAAGTTTAGGTGGTTTTTCATTGATTAAAAATAACTGACAACTGTCCTAATATTTTGCTCCTTTTTACATTTTGTAGCTCAAAAGACCTTAAAGGTCTGTAGGGTTCCCTGTCTCCCATCTTTCCACTGTAGTAAAAAGTAAATCAAATTATTCCTTCAACTTTCCTAGCTCTGTGCTCAGTTTCATTTCTCCTGCCAAGTTGGACTCTAAGTTGTTCTTCTCGTAGTCTATTGATCTCAGTCCAGAAACTTAACATTATGAGCCTCTTCTGCTCAACAGATTTTCAAAGATTAACACTATTATCTTTAACATATACAGGTCATATAAAATTACCTGGATTCACTAATTTTTTTTTTTTTCTGTTTTGAGATGGAGTCTTACTCTGTCGCCCAGGCTGGAGTGCAGTGACACCATCTTAGCTCACTACAACCTCTGCCTCTTGGGTTCAAGTAATTCTCCCTGCCTCAGCCCTCTGAGTAGCTGGGATTGCAGGTACCTGCCAATACACCCAGCTAATTTTTCTATTTTTTAGTAGAGATGGGGTTTCACCATGTTGGGTAGGCTGGTCTTAAGGAACTCCTGGCCTCAGGTGATCTGCCTGCCTTGGCTTCCCAAAGTGCTGGGATTACAGGTGTGAGCCACCATGCCCAGCCTAAATTTGTATTTTTTGAATTGAGTACAATCACTTTGCTAGTATATATAATTTAATAGATTTTATTTATCTTTTAGTGTTTCAGATAACCTCTCAAAAAGACTTTTAAAATAATGCTCTTACACAAAGCTCCATTTACCAAAATATACAGTAAAATCATAATACAGAAACTAAAATTTCCCTAGGTTATTATGCTTTTTAGCCAAATATATCCTTTTCTCTAGTTTAAATAAAACATTTGAACTTGCCTAGTTAGTGTGATTGGCAAATTTAGGAGCTTGCTCCCATTGCTAAATGGATTTAGAAATTCCCTTGTGAGTGCCTGGTAGCTAACACACTGGTCAGAGATCTTGTACTTATAAGACTATTTAAATTTGTTTGTTACAAGATGAATTTCATATGCAGAATATGTAAATGAAGAAGACTCATAAGTAAATTCCTAACAGTTTGTTCCCATTACCATAAGCAAAGCTGCTGCTAACCCAACATCTGGCACATAGGATTTGTACTCAGTAAATGTTAGTTCTTTTCTCCCTTTGATGTCAGTAATAAATACAAAAAATCATTTTTCTAAAGCAGAGTCTTAAAATCAGGTGGGAGTAGGGGATGTAGTTCTTCCTTTCCTACCTATTTTCTCTTTTATCCTTTCGTGTATACACACGCAAAGTTTACAACCTTATTCCATGCTGTCTTTCAGATTTAGAAAAGATCTAATTTCTGTCTCAGCTATCTCAGAGAACTGAAGCTTTTTATGAAGGTGCTATTGATCTAGAAAGGCAAACCCTTTTCAATGAAATATTAAATGAGTTTGTATATCTAGGCCCTTTTTAAAGACCAATGTCTATGCCATCCTCCATGCTTTCAGTTTGAGTTTTATTATTTGTCATTTTAATACCAGTGGCCCATCTTATAACACAATTTGTTTCTTCTAGAAGACACAGCTGATAGGGCAAATGTTGAAAAAAGAAGCATCCCTCCTCTCTCCCACACACCTCAAGCAGTTGAACACAGCCAGTTACTTTTCCATTATTATGTGTGCCTTTGAGTCATCCTCTTGGTCTTGTATGCGTATTGTGGGACAGCGGGAATAGCAGCTTGTAGTCTTGAAATAATCAAAGATAGAATGTCAGCTCTTACTACAAGAACAGAAAACATGCTATTTAGAAAGAGTCCTGCTTTAAGTAACATGTAGCCACATTTGAATCCTCTACCACAAGTCTTTTTTGCAATCTTGAACTTTCATTAGCTTCAGAGAGACACTATTCACAGGAGAAATACCTGATTATGGAAAGAATCAAAAATACTGCTTTCAGTTAGTAGCTAGCTTTAAGTCAGGTGTTACTAATGAGAACAAATTTTATAAATGTGTGTTTGTGTGTATTCACATACGTATATATACACTTACATATGTACATATACATATGCACATATTGCCATACTGAAGGGAAATGGATTTATATTTGAACTTGATATTTGAATGTTAGAAGTTCTCTATATGTATTTCATTTATCACTCTTTTGTATTCACTCAGCAACCATGCCCTTAGTCTGAGATAACAAGGATACTTTAATATCCAGTGCTGGTTCAGACTCACCTATGGGGCACCTTAAACTTAAATATCCAAAGATGCCTTTTGAATTTCAAAGATTAAAACACAGCTAGAGTAGTAGTGTTGTAGTCTCAAGATGTAAGGTTGTCATTTGTGAAAATAGAAATGTTATTTTTCCTAGTTTAGTATCAGCATTTTGGAATGTCACATTTCATGCCTTGTGAACACGTAATTTTATATTTTAATTTTTTGAAAAATATTCTGTATTTAGATATATAGAATGCTTAAAATAGCACTGTGGACAAGATGTTTCTAAAACTAAGTGTGCATATCTTTTCTGTATACAGCTTAAAATCAAAAATGTATGTTAAGAGATTTTTTTTCTATTACTTCTGGATCATGCTTTGAAATCATTTTTCTTGATATTTATTTTACTCCATTTTGTTATTTTCTCGGGGTGAGGCATCTGGTTACTGGTTATTTTAAAAAAAATAAAGACATTCCTAGAATCACTCCTTTTGGGTTTTTCTTTGTTTTGTTTCTTTTCTATATTTTAAAGTATTATTTTACAAAATATAAAAAATATAGATTCATGCCAAATTATTACCTATTTTTACATTAACTTTCTGCAGTCCCTCCATCTGGTATGAGTAAACCAGATAGAGCACAAAGCATGAGTTCTTGTTCTTCAGTTAAAAGAGCTTCTTTAACAGTGTTGATAACAAATGCCTTTGGTAGCCAAAACCAGGAGTCTCAACCTTATGTTTTTAGTTAAATAAATGTTTAGCTAAACATTGTTAAACATTGATTATTTGATACCCAAAACAGCAGTGGACAATGTTGTGCAATATCCATCTACTGTAGTTAAGATATTTGGTAGTTTATTTTTCATAAGCATGTAATTGATCATATTTCTGCCAAGGATGTGCCTTAAACTTTATAATTATAGTGTTAAAAATTTTTTTTGTCTGTCTCTTTTGTTAAATCATCTCTATCAGCAGTTCTGAACTACCCTTGTTACGTTTTTAGATTTTTTTTTTTCAACCGTTCATCTATGATGGGGCTGGATTATAGGCAGCACTACATATTTGGTAAGGATGGGAGGGAAGAAATCTATTTTCCTTTGGACTCCACTCCACCTGCCATATCATTCAGTGACGATGAGAAAAAAAGAAAGGAATATTAGTGTTTTCCTTTCCTTTGTAGTCTCTAATACATTCTTGATAGAAAGTCTACTCCGAGTGAGCTAAACAGAGAAAAGAGGTTTTCTCACCATTGGGGAGCCCTATACAGAGTGTTTGAAGTTCCCACCCAAGATAAATTCCCATACCCAAACACTCCTTTTTGAGTTAAGGAAAGCATTGTTAACTTATTTGTGAGAAAAAACTAATTTCCATTTCCCCAAAAACCCTTGAGGTTACTCAGGGTGAGGAGATAGGATGGGAAATGGCTACATAAGAGTAAAATCCCCTGCTGGGCGCAGTGGCTCATGCCTGTAATCCCAGCACTTTGGGAGGCCGAGGCTGGCAGATCACCTGAGGTCAGGAGTTCGAGACCAGCTTGACCAACATGGAGAAACCCCATCTCTACTAAAAATACAAAATTAGCTAGGGATGGTGGCGCATGCTTGTAATCCCAGCTACTTGGGAAGCTGAGGCAGGAGGATCGCTTGAACCCAGAATGCAGAGGTTGTGGTGAGCCAA